CTTCTGGGAACAAAGGGAAAACAACGTACAATATATAGATATATGTACATATATAGAGATATATACGAAGTATATAATTTGCTTTTGAAAAAAAAATAGCCACGTAATTGGAATTAAAGTTTCGTTAATCAATTAGCTTTAGGTAGATTATATATACACGTACATTAAAATTAACTTTACATGGGATTCTTAAGTTGCCGAAATTAGTTGTCAAATTAACTTAATACTATCGGGCTTGGTATAAACTAACAATTTAAAATGAAGGATATTTTTGTAAATTGAAGTAAAAACACTTCCTTTATTAACACTCCATTTTTTAGCTCTTCCAAACAAGGTTAATTTATACTTAACACTTACACTTACCATCCCTTTCGGGCTCCTGCCAACACTTAATAACACTTCCATTACTAACACCCTTCAACACTCCATCCAAACAGACCCTAATGATTTTGAGTAGTTTGTTAAGAATTTGTTTGGTCCACTATCCACCTCATACCGGATTAATATAAATTAATAAACCACTATATAATATTCTAGGTTACTCTTCAGTTTTAAGATACAACCTCAAGATTATAAAAAATACTACGTATCATATAGTGGTATCACAGGTTTGGAAAGATTTCAAATCCAACATACATATTCTTATGCTGTATAGTAAACCAAAAGTACTCATACCGATACTAATATTTAATTTGGAAACTTCACTTTTTCTTTTTTAAATGTCAAAATGTGCCTTTCAGTTTTCAAATAAAATGAAAATTGGAGAGTGACTACCACCCCAAACAGGGTCTTCAATAATACTAATCCATTCACATTACTCATCTCAAGGTACCTGGAGAACAGTGGATGTGTAGGAATGTGTGTTAACATGTGCAAACTTCCTACTCAAGACTTCTTCACCAAAGAATTTGGACTTCCTTTAACTATGAATCCAAGTACGCTATTCCCTCTTTCCATTACCATTACCATTACTCTCTTTTTCGTGAAATAATGATACACACACATACACACACACATGAATCGTCATAGCAGGCCGGCCGCACCGGGACAGCTGTCTGGCCGAGCCTGTTTGAGGGCCTTCCCGGTGGATTTTTTGATAAATGTTTTTGAGCATGTTCTTCATCAAGTCTAGTTAATACCCACCAATTTTCAGCAAAAAAATAATCGGGGTCAAATATGTAATTGAAAAACACTGCGCTGCTTATATATATATATATATTTATATCGCAGTGTTCTTAAATAGTTTAACTATTTGTTTTCCAGATTGATTTTTTAGCTGAAATTTAGTGTGAATAAAATAGACTTGATGAAGAACATATTCAAAAAAAATTATCAAAAAATTCCACCGAGAAGGCCCTCAAACAGGCTTGGCCGGACGGCAATTCCTGTCAGGCCGGCCTGACAGGAATGCCACTCTCTTTCTCTCTCTCTCTCTCACTATATATAAAGCTTAATATGTTTTAATAATTTATTTAATTGTCTTCTCGATTGAATTATAAGTTGAGATTTGGTGGGCATAAACTAGACTTGCTGATGAACTTGCTAAAAAAGTTTCATTAAAAAATTCCTTTGGGGAACAGTCCCAAACAGTGAATTCCACACGGCGGTTCCGGTTAGGAGCTCCTGACTATAATATATGTATTTATATTACTAAAATAAAGATGATGAACAAAAATATGACATGTGATATGTAGTGACTATATTCGTATCCTTTTAGTTATTATATCTATGTTCATGTTTATGCTACAGTGGCCTTGATGCTACACTCAAAGTAACTTTAGTCACATTTTTGTTCATAATTTCAGTAATAATTTATGAAAATTCTTTTTTTCATTCATTCAAAAACTTTAGCTGAATGCAGTTTTCATTTTTTCTTTCTTTTAAATCAAACCTACATGGGTTTTAAAAGGCCATATAGATTTAGATTTGATTTAAATTAGGAAAGGAGTGAAAGAGTTATTAGCCATAGTACTAGCTAAATTAATGTGAAATGAAACAGATTTTGAAGATATGAGTTGTGAGATGGTGTACGGGCAAGAACCACCCCCATTTGAACAAGACCCGGTGGCCAAACAGCCTTGTTTAGCTGACATTTGTGAGTTCAATTATTTAGTCCCATTAGTTTATGTTTGTTTTGCCAGCCGTATTTAATTCTTCCCTGGTTGACATTGGGACTAAAAGGGTCAGACGCGTTTTGATTGCAGGCTCTATGGCCAACCCCAGGTCCAGTGTTTGTCATAAACTACAAGCTTAACTCAAGTGGGAACAGAGTCTCAGGGGGCAAAGGGTTGGCAGTAGAAACCTCCCCACCTAATTTTTTGTCAATGCGTTATACATACATATATATGATATACCTATGCATTTTTATGTATAGTTTTAACAATACTTATACGTCATCACCTGGAATCTCAAAGAGATCAATTTAAAGTTATAAGTTGGGTGCCTTACTTAAACTCTATCCTTGGTACTCCTATTAATTAACGTAATGGTAAACAAATTGTGTGCTTACATAGACAATTTTTGAACATATTTCAGGCAACGTACAAAAAATGTACAGAAAAGTGTACAAGTAGAGTTCTTTATATTATGCTCACTAATAAGATATGGGTTACAAATTTACAATACAGTTACAGACGCAAATGATTTTAGGTTCTTCGGATAAAGCTAAAAAACTTGACAAGCAAGATGTATATACATACGTTATTTTTAGGGGCGGCCCTAGGGGTGCAACGGGGGTAGGCCTGGACTCGGGCCGGGCGGCCCGACCCGGAACCGGCCCGGCCCGGCCACTGTAGCAACCGGCCCGGCCCGGTGGCCCGGTCCACCGGCGGTTCGGGTCGAACCGGCCCGGTGGTTCCCGGTTCCGGGCCCGGGCCTTCCATATGGTGAACCGGCCCGGCCGGTTCGGGCCCGGTCCGGGCCGGAATTAATTTTTTTTTTTATTTTTTTTTGAAAATTTTTTATGTTTTGGGTTAGATTAGGTATTTTGGTCCATTTGAGATGGTTTGGGGTGGTTTGGGGTTGAGAAAGAGGGGTAGGGGATTAAATAAAGAAGCCAAAAAAAAAAAAAAAAAAATAATAGGGCGGGTGGCCCGGCCCGGAACCGGCCCGGTCTGGCCCGGAACCGGCCCGGAACCGGCCAACCCCGGTTCGGGCTCGGGCCTATATATACTGAACCGAGGCCCGGCCGGGCCCAGGCCCGAGGCCCGAACCGGCCCGGTTCAGTCCACCCCTAAACGGGGGTAACTGCCCTAGGCCCAAGAAAATAGGGGGGGGGGAATAGGTCCAAAAATATTTCTTTGTATGTAGTGTGAGCAGGCTTTTTTTATATAATTTTTAAGCTCAATTAATTGGTTTAAGGCTTAATTTTAAAATAAATGTAAAGTGACACACATCTCTTAATTTTCTTCGGATCTCTAAGTTTTATAATGCTTTTAATAACAAAATTACCAAGTTATGTTAGGCCTTCCAAGTCCAAAACTCCCAATTCGCAAAGCCCATCCAATATCAACAAAGGTAAAGAACGTTACAAAGCAGTGGATGCCTTAGCGGTTTGTTAAGAATTAAAGTCAATCAATCAAGAAGCCCAAACAGCGGTCGGTGACAAAAAAAATTCTTCTTTCAAGGCTTCAAACTAGGCCTGGACTCGGGCCGGGCGGCCCGACCCGGAACCGGCCCGGCCCGGCCACTGTAGCAACCGGCCCGGCCCGGTGGCCCGGTCCACCGGTGGTTCCCGGTTCCGGGCCCGGGCCTTCCAAATGGTGAACCGGCCCGGCCGGTTCGGGCCCGGTCCGGGCCGGATTTTAATTTTTTTTTTTTTGAAATTTTTTTAAAGTTTTGGGTTGGAATAGGTATTTTGGGCCATTTGAGGTGGTTTGGGGTTGAGGGGGAGGGGTAGGGGATTAAATAGGAGAACAAAAAAAAAAAAATTAAGTAGGCCGGTTCGGCCCGGCCCGGCCCGGCCCGGTTTGGCCCGGAACCGGGACCGGAACCGGCCACCGGCGGTTCGGGCCCGGGCCTCCCATTTCTTGGCCCGAGGCCCGGCCGGGCCCAGGCCCGAATCGGGCCCGAACCGGCCCGAGTCCAGGCCTACTTCAAACAATCCATCCGTGATCAATAAATTATTCTTGATAAAATTGGTGAATCAGGTTGGGATAAAGAGAGAAAAAGAAGAAGATTAGAAATGACATTTTTTTAACTCTGGGGGGTCTGGGGGAGGAGGCTGGGGGAGCATGGAGTAATCAGGGCTGAAACTCAATTCATTGAGTTGCAAACCCTTATGTTCCTAGCGGGATTTGAACTTGAGACCTCCTACTAGGCACGGTAACCTCACAACCACTTGGCTGGAATGATTGGTTAGAAATAACAGGGTTATGTTAGAAGGGATCAATGAAAATTTTTGCTTTTGTTAAGAAATTGAATCTTGAAAATTCCGTGAGAAACATTTTTAAGTAATGTTTTTCTTTTTATGTGATACTTGTGTTGTTACTTTTCACCAAATATATAATTTAAAAAATAATAAAATGAGTTTCATTTTTATTTAATGACCTTTATCAGATAATTTTATGGAGGAATTTGACTTTGCACCCCACTTTTTGGGTCATATTGAACTTTACACCCAATTTTCAAAAACTTTGACTTGCACTCCATTCCACTTAAAAATCCTTTGATTTTGCATCCCGTTCAAAAATGTTATTCGCAAAATGTTATGTGTTGGGGTGCAAAATCAAAGTTTTTTCAAAATGGGGTGCAAAAACCAATATCACCCAAAAAGTGGGGTTCAAAGTCGAAATTCCCCTAATTTTATTATAATTATTATTTTAAATAAATATAATTTATTATTTGTCTTGAATATAAGCCCAAAATATTATGTCCCCCATAGGCCTAAAAATAGACAGGACCGGCCCTGGTTATTTTGTTCCATATTGACACTTTTTTTTTTTAATTTTTTAGCATGGTATAAAGAAACAACTAGTTATGTCATGGATCATAATTGAGAGGTGATTAACTTCAAGATTATATATGATGAAATGAAAAACATTAGCAACCTGTTTGAGGATGAGAGGTTTAGTCTCAAAGCTCAAATGTCTTAAAACAGACCTCAGAATTTGGAATAAAGACACCTTTGGCAACCTGTTTGAGGATATCAAGTATTGTGAATCTTTGATCCAGCAAGCAGAACAGTCTTATGAAGATGATCCTTCTGATAGCAACAGAGAGAACTGGTCTCATGACCAAGTACAAGATGGAGAAGAAATTCTGGAAGCAAAAGGCACACATATATTGGCTTAAGGAGGGTGATTCTAATTCTAAATTCTATCATTCTTTTGTGAAAATAAGAATCAGGAAGCAGAACATTGTAGAAATATTGAATGAAGATGGTAATCTGGTTACTAATATGTCAGAAATTGGTAATGCTGCTGTCTCCTTCTTTTCCAATCTCTACTCAGTTGACAGTCAGGTGGATGATATTAATATCCTGCAACATATACCAAACTTAATTAATTAACTGCCTACAGAAGATGAAGTTAAAACTGCAGTTTGGGACCTCAATCAACATGGGGCTCCTGGACCTGATGGCATTAATGGAAAATTCTTCAAAAAGTGTCGGGATATTGTAGGTATTGATGTAATCAGGGCAGTTCAAGAATTTTTTTCGGGTCTTCCTATTCCTCAAGGTATGGCTAGCAGTTTGGTGGTTTTGATTCCTAAAAGTGAGCATCCTAATACCTTTGCAGATTTTAGACCTATTTGTTTATCTAATTTCGTCAATAAAGTTTGCACTAAGGTTCTGGCTACGAGGTTGATTAAAATTTTGCCCAAAATTATTTCTATTGAGCAAGCTGGCTTCATGCAAAACAAAGATGTTATTGAGCAGGTTCTTATCGCTCAAGAAATGCTTCATTCTATTGACAAGAAAATTAGAGGCTCTAATGTGATGGTAAAGCTTGATATGGCTAAAGCCTTTAATAAACTTTTCTGGGAATTTTTAGCTTTGATTCTGGACAGATTTGGGTTTTCCAATAATTTTGTGCATCTCATCATGAACAACCTGAAAGCTACTCATCTCTCAATTTTAGTTAATGGGGCTCTTCAGGGGTTTTTTCAGCCTAAAAGAGGGGTCAAACACGGTGACCCCTTATCTCCCTTTTTTTTATCATTGCTTCTGAAGCCTTCTCTAGAGGCCTCAAGTGGAATATTGATCATGAACTTATTAAAGCTGTGTTTGTGGTTGCTTAAAAAAAGTGCTTTTCAGCTTTTGACTTCAAAAAAGCTAAAAAGAGTGTTTTCAAATGACAACTTCTGCTTAAATTAATCACTTAAAAGCTAAAAGCTGAAAGCAGGTGCAAGGGTGCTTTAAACTGCTTTTCACTTTTTCTATTATACAAAAAGTACTTATTTTACCAAACACTACCAACTTTTACTTTTTCAGAATCACTTTTTTCTCAAACACTACTAACTTTTACTATTAATCACTTTTCCCAAAATCACTTTAAAAAATCACTTTTTTAAAGTTGAGGCAATTGCAAACACTCCCTAAGCCATACTGGATGGATAATGTTGGCTACCCGGTGTCGCATTTGGGGTTTGCAGATGATTTATTTATATTCCTAAATGGAGATGCCAGATCTTTGTTAAATTTCAAAAAATTTCTTAACTCTTATCAGGCTGCCTCAGGTCAATCAGTCAATCTGGATAAAAGTTCTTTCATCTGTGGCAAATTTGCAAGAGCAAGATCCAGAACCATTCACAGAATTCTTGGTATGAAAAAGGCCACTTTACGAATTAAATATTTGAGGGTTAATCTTCACAAAGGTATTAATAGATTTAGCTATTGCTCTAATCTGATTAATCAGTTTGAGAAGAAGCTATCACCTTGGAAACAGAGGAACTTGTCTCAGGGAGGAAGGTTAATCTTAATCAATCATGTCTTGAGTGCAATTCCTCTCCATATCCTAGCAGCTGATAACCTGCCCAGGAAAGTCATCAATATTCTTGAGAAGAAAATGTCATCTTTCTTTTGGGGCTCGACTCATGATAGAAATAATTATCACTGGGTTAAATGGGCTGATGTGTGTCTTCCAACTGAAGAAGGAGGGTTGGGAGTCAGATCTTTAACTCATTTGGAAAAAGCTTTTTCAGTTAAATTATGGTGGAAATGGAGAACTACCAGTTCACTTTGGGTTGATTTTTCTCAAAGCAAGATATCCCAGAGGGGATAATATGGCTCCCAAGGTTACTGATTCTCCCATCTGGAGGAGAATTTGTTCTATTAGTGACACTGCTAATACCTTTTGTCAGATTAATCCGGATGCTTGTGTGAGATAGATACCTGAAGATGATGGGAATTTTACTTTAAAATCTGCCTACAACATGGTGCGCTCGGAAATGGCCTCTACCTTCTCCTTCAAGCATGCTTGGCACCCCAGACAAACACTGAAAATCAAAATCTTGCAATGGAAAATTTTTAAAAGGTATCCTGCCTATTACTGATAATTTGAAAAGGTTTCAAATGGTTCTTAATCCATCCATTTGTCCTCTTTGCAAACAATGTGAAGATTCAGTTGACTATCTTTTCTTTAAGTGTCATGTGGCTCAACCAATATGGTTTTACTATATGAGCATACTGGGAATACCCTTTCCTAGTCAAATTGGTTCTATTAAAAAGATATTCATGGCCTGGTGGCTTCGAGCAGGGACCAAAAAACTAACTGATGTCTTTAAACATAATTTACCTGGAATCATCTGCTGGCATTTGTGGAAAATTTACTCGAGTATTGTGTGGGGTCCCAATGATAGAGTTCCATCTTCTGAGCACATAATCCTACAGATAATTAAAGTTGTACACTCAGAATTGGGTTACTAGTTTCTCTCATCTTAAGATCAGGGTGGTTGGAGATATTCTCTATGAAGAAAATCTGATTCCCTGTAACTTTAAACTCAATAAAGGTTATTATAAGGCAGTAAAATGGAAACGAGCTCCTGGGAATATGAAGATGAATACAGATGCAAAATTCTTACAGGGAGTAGCTACTGGTGGTGCGATTATAAGGAATTCTGAGGGAGCTTTGATCTTAGTGACTTCATTCCCTCTATCGGTTTCTTCTCCAACTGAAGCTGAGTTCTCATCAGCTCTATTTGCAGTTGACTGGGCGATTGATAAGGGATTTTCGAATTTCATAGTTGAAATGGATTCGGAGGTGGCTCTGAGGTATATCGTGGACGGAGGTGCTGGTAGTTGGAAAGATGGATTTCAGGAAATTATACTGAAAGGAAAGAGGAAAGGGGTGCGTTTTACGCATTGTGTGCACCAACAAAACTGGGCTGCGCATTTTCTAGCAGAACTAGCACCGGCCCAACAAATAATTTTTGATCGTGTTAAGGACCTTCCGGACTCAGCACGACGTGCCTATTATTCTGATCTCTTTGGCATTCCATCTTTTAGATTTATTTTTTTATGTGTTCCATTGGGTCAGGTCTAGCCCCCCAATGTTCTATCTCTTTATCTGTTTTTTTTTGTGGAGGTATGCCTCCCGAGAGGTTTTGGTTTGGTGCCCCTCTGATTTGTACTTTTCATTATCTAATAAAACTCTGGTAAATGACCCCCGACATTTACCCCATTGATTTTGGTGGTTTGCCTTCCGGGGCAAAAAAAAAATGAAAAACATTAGCAAAGAAGCTATGCCAAATTAAATTGTATGTAGTCAAATTCTAGACGTGTCAAAGTAAATCTTTGAAACGTCTTTGCCATATCAATTGTGATAACCCCTCGACATTATAACCCCATACCTTAGTATCGATGGAGTGATTATTCGTTCATCTCATAGAATATGACATTTAGACTCTATCTTCCATAAATCGGCTTGTTCATAAGAAATAAGTGAAGGAAAAAGGTAACCGATTCTCATGGGAAGGGGCAGGGGAGGATCTATGTACGGGCTATGATAGGCTGAAGCCCAGAGCAACTTAGAAAATGTTTAATTTTTTGTGTAAAATTTTTCTTTTTTCATATTTAGCCCACTCTGCTAGTATTCAAGCCTAGTATAATTCCTATTCAGCCCAGGGCAAGTCAGATTTCTGGATCCGCCCCTGGGAAGGGGTGTAATAGTGCACATCTTTTTTTTTGAACCAATAGTGCACATCTTATTCATCAAAGTTGATAGTCAAATTTAGGGGTTGGCAAAAATCCCCACTGTCCCATTCTGAATATCGTGATGAAATTATTCTTATATTGTTCCATTCTGTATTCTGTTTAGAACTCGATTTTTTTTTTTGTCTAGCACTGGTCTTGTATTGACTTTAAACGAATATGCACGAGACATCAACCCTAGACACATCAGTTTCAATTCAACAAAAGATTTAGGGATAAAAGTCATTTGAGAGTTAGACATATGTGAGGATCGAAATAGACACTCCAATGAAGATATCTTTCGTTCATTATTACTAATACAACATCAATGCACACAATATTCAAACACTTTCTAGAACATCCACTGCACCATAGTTAGGGGCATATTCAGAAATCTAAACTGAAGCGGATGTTACAGCTCAAGTGTGCTGGACTAGATCGTTGTTGCGCATGAATACAAGGTCTACCACCATTGGACTAACTGAGTCACCATGACTTATAACCTCCCAAATATAATGCTTCATCGGATCGAGACGTTCGGACTTTTGTAATTGGGGATTCAACCTTTTGAAACAATGTTAGTAGGCTTTGATTTTATCAATCCTTCTTGTTACATTCATTAGGAGCAACTTCATAAATAGAGCGACTTCCTTGCAAAATGCTTTATTGTTAGCAGTGCATGTGATGCATTTTACACATGCATGTGTACTTTATATTTTGCAAATGTGTACTTTTATCCGTCCAGTGTCCATAGTGCACCTTTACGTTTAAAGTGGTGTATAATTATAGCTATGAAAAGCTTTGATTTATTTATAAAAATGTCATTGTTTAATCCTATTGAAATGTAAATTTGATACTCCTAATTCGATTAGTTCGATTAAGTTTTCATGCAGAGATGATTTTTATTTGAACTAAAAATCTGAAATTTATGTATCTAGCCTACTAATTAAAGTCAACCCGAATTCTTAATAGTCCTAGCTGCTCTCTAATATCTGCATGTCAATTAGAGTTCGTATATGGTACCACCCTATAGCCGGCCCAATTACAGGCCCAATGGAAAAATAGAAAAATAATTCGGTGGTAATTTTGTAATTAATGTAAAAATCGCGGTTTCTAAGTATTTGTGTATTGTTAATGAGCAATAGTCCAATTTTGATGAGTATTAAGCGTCTAATAATGAGTACCGTGTTATTACAAGAAAGATGGTATCAGAACTAAAAAACGGTGGCATTTTCGTAAATTGAGTGAAATTCGCGGTTTTCGTTAGATGAGCATTAATACACTTTTAATGAACATCAAACGTATTCTACTGAGTATTAAGAGTCGAATAATATGTATTGTGATATCAATTTCATATATTGTAATTCACTTTTTTTTTCTTCTTATTTTATCTTTTACAAAAACTCATTAAATTATATCTATAATCAACTTCTATAAACTTCAATATGTGAATTTAATGTAGTATGATATTTTTGAAATATGCATTGATATGCCATTTTAAAAATGAGCATGATATCGGTATCAAATGAGCATACGCAACTTTCAAAATGTGCATAAATATGAAAATCGTATGGTTTGTTAGTTGGGCGTCATGACATTTTCATTGAGCATCAAACCTTCTATATTGTGATGAAAATAATGGTTTATGTTAAATAAGCACTAATGAACTTTTAATTAGCGCTAGACCTATTCTGTTGATTATTAGGAGTTTAATATTGAGCATCATAATCTCTGCATCATATCTTCTAATTCACTTTTTTTTCTCTTATAAAAACTTATTAAATTATATCTACTATCAATTTCTATGAAGTTCAATATGTATATCTGTTGGGCCTGCCGCGGGTCTGCGGTCAGCAATCTGCCAGCCTGCCGGTGCAATCGAACCGCGTGGCGCTTTGCCTGTTCTATAAAAGGGGATGGGCGTGCTACACTATCAGCGATTGCTTTTAGTGTAGTGGTAAGCGCAACGATCCACAATTGGTATCAGAGCCAAAGGTCACGGGTTCGACCCCCGGCAACAGCATGCTGCTCAGTTGTAGGCTGGCAGGTGCTGGGGGGGAGATTGTTGGGCCTGCCGCGGGTCTGCGGTCAGCAATCTGCCAGCCTGCTGGTGCAATCGAACCGCGTGGCGCTTTGCCTGTTCTATAAAAGGGGATGGGCGTGCTACACTATCAGCGATTGCTTTTAGTGTAGTGGTAAGCGCAACGATCCACAATTGGTATCAGAGCCAAAGGTCACGGGTTCGACCCCCGGCAACAGCATGCTGCTCAGTTGTAGGCTGGCAGGTGCTGGGGGGGAGATTGTTGGGCCTGCCGCGGGTCTGCGGTCAGCAATCTGCCAGCCTGCCGGTGCAATCGAACCGCGTGGCGCTTTGCCTGTTCTATAAAAGGGGATGGGCGTGCTACACTATCAGCGATTGCTTTTAGTGTAGTGGTAAGCGCAACGATCCACAATTTTCCCCTTTTTGGCATCAGCAAGATCACCAAGCAGGAGTCCAATCTTTGAGAATTCGGTGGCCTGATTCTCCTTTATTGTGGATCGTTGCGCTTACCACTACACTAAAAGCAATCGCTGATAGTGTAGCACGCCCATCCCCTTTTATAGAACAGGCAAAGCGCCACGCGGTTCGATTGCACCGGCAGGCTGGCAGATTGCTGACCGCAGACCCGCGGCAGGCCCAACAATCTCCCCCCCAGCACCTGCCAGCCTACAACTGAGCAGCATGCTGTTGCCGGGGGTCGAACCCGTGACCTTTGGCTCTGATACCAATTGTGGATCGTTGCGCTTACCACTACACTAAAAGCAATCGCTGATAGTGTAGCACGCCCATCCCCTTTTATAGAACAGGCAAAGCGCCACGCGGTTCGATTGCACCGGCAGGCTGGCAGATTGCTGACCGCAGACCCGCGGCAAGCCCAACAATATCTAATGTAATATAATACTTATGAAATATGCATTGATATGATATTTTAAAAATGAGCATAACATCAGTATCAATTGAGCATATGTAACTTACAAAATGAGCATTGATATGAAAACAATAAGCATCTTTAGTTGAGCATCAAACATTTTTCATTGAGCATCAACACCTCTCTATTGAGTATTAAAAGCGTGCAATTGAGTATGATGAGCTCTCCCCTCGTGTCTATAACAACTCTCATGTAATGTGATAGTTTTGAAATATGCATTGATATGTCCTTTTAGAATGAGCATAAAATTAATACCAGTTGAGCATACATAACCTACAAAAATGAGCATATATGTTCAAATATATTTATTCATTTATGTATGTTCATTTGATTTTTCTAATGTGCTCAAATATTTAATTATGTATGTTCAATTATTTTAACAGTTATGCACATTTATTACAAACATTGTACTCATTCTAATAATAACATAAAGCTTAGTAATTAATAAGATGAAAATATTAACACATAATATTAAAATATAGTATTAAAATATAATATTGAAATATATATAATATTAAAATAGAATAGAAATGTGTCAGATTCAGAACTAAAGTAAGGAACACAACACTTTTTCTTTTGATATAAAATTGGAGGCCACAACGAAGTCTTCCTTCATCAGAAATCCCAGCAAGCCAGCAGCATCCCAGTAGCATCGATTGATGATCGGAAGTCTAAACTTCAGCCTGCGAGCAGCATCATATGAACCGGCGCCTCCTTCCCCAATTCCCAGAACATCAGCGAGAAGCACAACAGGGGAAGACCTTTACAATTGGAATTGTAATTAATTGTAAAAAAATCAGGCTATACCATACCATAGGTACAATCGGTTGTACGATAGTATTTACTGTCAATTATGGTTGAGTTTTATAGTTCAAGTACTACATACTACGTACTACATAGGATTTAATCGTTATTCTCCTATAAATATGTCTTAATAAAGAATGCGTAATCTAAACAAATTATCTCTAGTTTTATACATTTACAAAAATATCAATATACAAAGTTTACACCATTAAATCGTACTTGTTGATTATGTCACAAAAATGAATCAGCACTTAATGATGTTAACTTTCCATTATGTAAATTCGTTTTCGTAAAACTATTAACAACTTCAAATTTTTGATGTAAAATTATAAAACATGGAAATGTTTTTTTTTTTGGATGAAACATGGAAATGTTGATGTATAAATTTTG